GCGTCCCTAGTTTGAAAACCCTACTAAGATGTATTTATCTGGTTGTTGTTTTGCAGTCAGCATAGATGTGTCCTTCACTGTCTACAGTTTCCAGCAATATGGCATGCAATATTTGAGAATTGTTTTTATTTATATATTTAATGTTTAATGTATATTTTGGGCTGCCGAAGTTGATGTGTTGCACATGAGATATTAATTAAATATGTTTGACATAATAGTTTTTTATGTTCGCAGTCACTAAATGTAATATTTGATTCTGCTTTCTACAGACAGGTCAGAAATCAAGACTTTAATTGCAATAATGTTTTTTTTTCTCAATTTGTTAATTGTAAAAAAATCTTTGTGCAAAAAAGTTTAGTTTTAGTATAATGACAACGTAAAACCCAACTTGTTTAATTTTTGAAAACAATTATTTGATTAAGTATTTTTTAAATATTAAATGTAATATTTCTTACACAGTATGACTGGATTTTAACACAAAAATGTACTGATAGAGATCATTATCAAAAGGGGATCATTGTATTTGGGCGTCCCTAGTTTGAAAACCCTACTAAGATGTATTTATCTGGTTGTTGTTTTGCAGTCAGCATAGATGTGTCCTTCACTGTCTACAGTCTCCAACAATATGAATATTTGTAGTCTACAAATACTGTCTGATTTAATTTCTTTCACCCTATGATTCCATTGAATAGTCTCTTGACCGACACAGAGTCTGACACCTTAGGTTCAACTGTTTGATACACTCAGAGGTCAAGGGTCAAGGGCTGAGTAACTATGATGATGAGTCAGATGCAGGAGGGGCGAGACCGAGTCGTGTGTGTGAATGTGTGTGTGTGTGTGTGAGAGTGTGAGAGTGAGTGAGTGAGTGTGTCTGTGAGTGAGTGAGTGAGTGAGTGTGTCTGTGTCTGTGAGTGAGTGAGTGAGTGTGTGTGTGTGTGTGAGTGTGAGTGAGTGAGTGAGTCTGTGTCTGAGAGTGAGTCTGTGTCTGTGAGTGTGTGAGTGTGAGTGAGTGAATGAATGAGTCTGTGAGTCTGTGTGTGTGTGTGTGTGTGTGAGTGTGTGTCTGAGAGTGAGGCTGTGTCTGTGAGTGTGTGAGTGTGAGTGAGTGAATGAATGAGTCTGTGAGTCTGTGTGTGTGTGTGTGTGTGTGAGTGTGTGTCTGAGAGTGAGTCTGTGTCTGTGAGTGTGTGAGTGTGAGTGAGTGAATGAATGAGTCTGTGAGTCTGTGTGTGTGTGTGTGTGTGTGTGTGAGTGTGAGTGAGTGAGTGAATGAGTCTTTGAGTCTGTGTGTGTGTGAGTGAGTGTCAGCTTGAGTGAGGATTTGAGAACTGCAGCGCTAATGTAAGCTCACAATCCCAAACACGCCTTTTGTTTCACTTCTCACTAAGCACTTTCTCACTCCCTGTTAAACTACAGCCAGATACGAGTAGAGAGTTTAGAAAGAGAACACCTGTTCAGAAATGAGTGATCATTATTGATGTGAGTTAAATACTAGTGATGAAACCTCTGTCACAAAGGGTTAAAGTTTTCCTAAATAAAGGCACACAAGGAGACATTTACAAGCAAAATTATTGAATTTATTAGAATACAAAAAGTACACTGGCTTTTTGAAAATATCTGCTTCAAACTGTATTTAATAATTATGTAATTATTTATAGGCCCACTTTAAACTGTGTGTGTATATATAGATAGACAGACAGACATACAGCTAGATAGAGATGTGTGTGTTTGTGAATTTTAATGTATTTAGGAGTAAAATTCAGTTTTATTAAATTTGAGATCATAAAAAGTCACATTAATATGACTTATTAATAGAGCCCGACCGATATGGGTTTTTTGGGGCCGATACCGATATTAGGGAGTAAAAAAAAAGGCCGATAACGATATATCGGCCAATATTCTTTGTGTATATTATAGTATGCGAGCTTCTAGAGTGCAGATAACTCTGAAGTAATGAATTTAGGTAAATGGGTGCAGAGCCAGTGGTGGTTTTGTAGGCAATGCTTGAATTTTATGCGAGCAGCTACTGGTAGCCAGTGCAAACTGATGAACAGAGGTTCGACTATGCATACATGATGCTGTTTATTTATAATTGTTTAAGCAACTTAATTATATTTTATTGCTATAATTGCATTAGTAATATTTTGCTCGATGCACCCTCTTGTGTCCTCAGGAGAGAAGCCAAAAGCTCTTTCCCCCCCAAACTGAAATTATGCCTTTTATATTCTAATATAATTTTAATATTGATAATATTTAAGTGCAAAATTTGAATTTAGTTTTTCAGCCATTCTGACAGCCTTAGTTCACACACATCTACATTTAGTCAGAAATGTGATTAAAACTCTTGTCCTGTAAGGCAAGTGTTCAGATAGATGTGGCAGCTTCAGTCTTGCGTTCCTCATGTTTTTTTGTTATTTTTTACTAAATGCATACTCAGATGAGCTGCTCTCGTGTGTGTTTTCATGTTCAAACACACATGACCTGAAGATCCAGTCATGAATGTGTGTGTGTGTTGGTTTTAATTTTACGTGCAAATCTCTCTCTTAAAGAAAAATGCACTGTATGTTGGAGAATATCTCTTCATTTTTGGTTTTTCTCTTTGGAATGGACACCTGACAGGCATCCTGTTGATAGATACTATTAATGATAATGATGATGAATCATTACTGTGTTTGAGGAACCGGTGTTAAAACAGAAAAGGATTGGAGGTGGAAGGAGCTGCTTCTGTTTTGGTGTGTGTGAATGGTGTTTTGTGAGTCTAACCGCATGTCGGACACGTCTTTTAGGAACACGAGTGCATGGGCTTCAGTCGCTCGTTCCAGAACATTTCAGCAGCACAGCTTCAGTGTATTATAATCATTAACACAGAAATCTAACGTCAGACACGACGTAGAGTGATTTAGAAATCATGCACGAAGACTGCGTTTGTGAAGTCATGGTCTAATAATATCTGTATTCATCTGACTGATAATGAGCTCAACTGGAAAAATGATCTTTATCTGAGCAGGAACAGGAAATTGCATGCAGGAAATGAGCTTTTTCTGAAATGTTAGTTTTTGTCTGAGTGCGTTTTGCTGCAGAATAAGTCACATTTAATGTAAAGATAAATAAGCCAGCCGGGTCAAAATGTAACAAGCGCCGTATTAGAGTAAAAATGGTACAAAGTCTTAATTTGCACTTCCACAAATTAAGGTGTGAAAAGGTCTTAAATCAGAGCAGAACATCTTAAATTAATAAGGTAATGGCATTAAATGTTGCATGCACTGCAAAAAAATAAATAAATAAATACAATTTGGGAAAAATACATAGATAATAAAAAGAATAATAAAATAATAGTAATAATAATGAACGTCTTCCTCTGTATTTTTGTCTGATTTTCCAGTACCAATATCTAAACATCATTAAATCAAGGTGCATTTAATTGAGATGGAAAATTATTAAATTTAATTAGTTAATGAAACTAATTTAATTAATCTTTTAAATTGTTTAAAAAGTTGTATGCATTCATTTTTGATGCTAAATTACATAAAAAAATCAATAAAAGTTCAAACAGAAAACACAGAATGTTTAAAAACAGTAAAAAGCATTTCATAAGCCCCTATTATTGTCGAATTTATTAATCAATTATTGAATTGTTAAAGTTTTATAAATGCAGTTCATTAGACGTTTTTAAATTACAATTGTATTAACACATTTAAATGAAATATTCAGAGAAAATATGAATATAAGTATATCCAGACAAATTAAAACGAAAAACGCTGAATTTGAGAAAACATCAAACAGATTTCATCAGGCTCTTGGATCAGCTATGCATATTTTTGTTCTTGTATGATAGACTTCTTGTGATTATCTGACTCCGCTTAAGTAAACATGTCTCGGATTCCTGAAGTTCTTTTTCTCTCCATGTGTAATTTTCCCCACATGTTCAGCAGAATGAAAATATGAGGAACAGAATAGTGAGTGTTCATGCCTGCAGGTTCAGTTTCGGCGAGAGATGGTGACAGGCTTGTGTTTTACAGTATATGACTTCTGAATGCATGTGTCTCCTTTAACACGCTCATGATTCCCGTAACGCTGTTCCCTGGAGCACTAAAGACACGTCTCTTTAAAACAACATGCATGCAAAAAGTGAATAATAGGCCTAATTACCCAAATATTTTAATTAAAAAATGATGCAACGGTTTTAGGGTCATGAAAATATTTATGGCCAGTAAATTCACCCACGATCGGATATTCATTAATATCTGTAGTGTCTCATCTGACAACAACTAAACTCAACTTTCAATATTTTTAAATTAATAAAAAAATCCTTTAGTACAAAACTTGCCAAGCGATTTATTCAGTAACGGGTCAAAAAGAAAGAAAGGAAATTAAATATATAAATAAATACTGACTCGCAATAAATAAACAAACAAATAAATCAATGCATAAATAAATAAATACTGACTCACAATAAACAAATAAATACATAAATTCTGACTCACAATATATAAATAAATAAATACCAACTCACAACAAACAAACTAACAAATAAATAAATATTGACTCACAATAAACAAACATAAATAATGAATGAATAAATAAAATCTGATTCACAATAAATAAATAAATAATAAATACTGGCTCACAACAAACAAACAAACAAATTCTTACTCCCAATAAATAAATAATGAATGAATAAATCAAATCTGATTCACAATAAATAAATAAATACTGACTCATAATAAACAAACAAACAAGCAAACAAATAAATAATAAATCAATTCTGTCTCACAATAAACAAGCAAACAAATAATAAATAAATCAATTCTGTCTCACAATAAACAAGCAAACAAATAATAAATAAATAAATTCGGACTCACAATAAACAAACAAACAAATAAATAAATTCTGTCTCACAATAAACAAACAAACAAATAATGAATAAATAAATAAATTCTGACTTACAATAAATAAATCCTGATCAGTCTGATGATTTCTCTCTCTCTTTCTCTCAATAGACGTCCCGTTCCAGCGATGATTGCCTGAGCTCGTCTCATGGAGAAGAAGTCCTGCAGTGTATTCCTGCAGCCCGGTGCTCCGGTCATGTCCTTCGTCCCGCCGGAGTGTTCCCAGCCCGTGTGCGATTGGCTGAGTGGCCTCCGGCTCGACCAGTACTGCCCGGCCTTCCGGGAGGCGGGGCTGGGAATGCTGTGGGAGTGTCATGATCTAAGCTCCGCCCAGCTGCAGCAGATGGGCGTGGCTCTGCCCGGCCATAGGAAGCGGATCCTTGGCAGCCTGCGCAAGCTCCTCCCCTCGGCGGCGGGAACGGAGGAGGACGAGGAGCGAGAGGAGGACAGGCCCGTTGCCCGAGAGAGGACCAAATTCAGAGCATCGGAAAACAGTGTCGCAGGTAGACGCCCGCCTCCCGTCCCGCCTCGAGTCACGCCCAATCGACCCCCCGTTCCCTTCACGCCCGGATCGGTAACCATGGCGACCGCTCCTGAGCCTATCAGCCTCCCTGAACAAAAGGAAACGCCCACGCCTGCCGAACAAGCCAAGCCCATCCCAACTCCCAGGCCACGCCCAGAACACCTGCCTCTTAAAGGGCCGGCGCAGCAACTCCAGACGAGTGAGAGGAAACCGTCTCCTGTGTCTCCCTCTTCCTCCTCCTCCTCCTCCTCCTCATCATCGGAGCGCTTCCACCTGTATGAACAGTGTTCGTCTCCTGCTCAGGGAGAAGCGGGCGCTCCTCCTCTTCCTCCTAAGAGCTACGCCGTGGGCATCTCTAAAGAGCCCAGAGACGGCCCGTACAGACCCCCTGTTCCACCACCTCGTGTCTCCATCTGCTCCAGAACTACGAATCCCAGAAGCACGTCATCCGGAAGCCCGCCCACGTCTAGGTACAGGGCACACTTTATCTGTCAACTGCTGCAATGTTTAGTATGTAATAGGGCTGTGACGGTGGCAGATTTTTACCACCGCGGTGACCCTGGAGCACAAAAGCAGTGTTAAGTCGCTGGGGGATATTTGTAGCAATAGCCAACAATACATTGTATGGGTCACAATTATACATTTCTCTTTTATGCCAAAAATCATTAGGATATTAAGTAAAGATCATGTTCCATGAAGATATTTAGTAAATTTCCTACCGTAAATATATCAAAACTTAATGTTTGATTAGTAATATGCATTGCTAAGAACTTAATTTGGACAACTTTAAAGATGATTTTCTCAATATTGAGATTTTTTTGCACCCTCAGATTCCAGATTTTCAAATATTGTGCTATCCTAACAAACCACAGATCAATGGAAAGCTTATTTATTCAGCCTATTTCAGATGATGCATACATCTCAATTTCGAAAAAATTTACCCTTATGACTGGTTTTGTGCTCCAGGGTCACGCTAAAAGTGCTGTCCTTCTTAGCTGATAAAACATGTATGTGTCGAAACGGCTGATAATAAAATGTGACATTCTGTTTGTCATGGCGACCGTCACAGCCCTAGTATGTAATACTTAATTTTTTTTAAGAAATTATAGTTTTCATTTAGCCCGATTTTAATAAGTGAATTAAAAAATTTTTTTTTTTACTATTAAATTTTTTTTAATAAATTAATAGTTATTTAATATTAATAATTATTTAATAATCAACAGTCTAATAAAATTTTAAGTTAAACATTTAAAATGCACATTAATGATATTATTTCAGCGGTGGTTGTCATAACTTTTAAATATACTTTAAATATTGATATAAATATAATGATTATGTAATATGGTGCATATATTTCTTATATTTTGAGCCAGATTTTGTCCATTAAACAGGGGATCTGGGTAGTTTTTAAACTGTATTGATTAGAGGTCGACCGATAGTGGATTTTGCCGATACCGATAGCAAGGTTGGACCACACTGGCCGATACCGATTAATTAAGCGATAGTTTTAAAATTGATACTGAACAAAAATAAAATAGTGCTTTATTAACAAAAACAGTACTGAACCATACTAGTAATAGTAGTACAAATAATAATAATAGTAATAGTAAATGTTGAAATGAACACACTCTAACAAGGAACAATACTTACACAGCTTTCATTAATCTTAAAGCTACAAATGGACTCTAATTTTAAAGTGTTACCATTTCAACTGTCGTGCTTGAAGATGCACATCTTTAAATATATACACAAAGGCTATAGCATTAAAATTATATACATATGGATATTGTATGTATACGCTCACACTTTAACTGCTTCTATTCTTGAACACTTGAGGATTATCTAAAAGAAATAAAAGCGCAGCGCTGAGTCTAGGAGAACTCACCGATATCACACACACTCCGGACGCGTCGCGGTCTAAAACGGTTTATTTAATCACCAAACATACACCAGTTTACTTCAAGAATGAACAATTTGGCATGGATGAGTTTGAAGTTCAGTGTTTAAAAAACGGAGCAAACTGAAAGAGAAAGCGCGACCTACTGTATATTATAGCTCTATAAATGAAGCACACAGACTTTATTAGAGCCACAGAAAAACAAACATTTTGCTGAAAATACACAATTCATTATGTACATTAACAACGATTCGGGACCAATATAGTGTAATTTAATGGAAAACTATGTGAATGGCGCTCTGTGGCGCGGCAGGATTTTCTGTCGGCTACATTTAAATCCGTGTCTGAAGTTCCCCGCTCTGTTCGGCGTGCAGTATCACGTGTCTAAACAAACAGCTCGTGCTGTCAGTGATTTCAACCACTAGAGGCCGCTCTCGCACGGTGTAATGACAACAGACCCTTCTCAGCTTCTCAGACGCTCCAGCAATGGACGCAACCCGAAAAACTATCGGCATGGATTTTTGTCGATAACCGATAGTTCCAGCATCAACTATCGGTGCCGATTAATCGGCAAAACCAATACATCGGTCGACCTCTAGTATTGAGTCACGGGTCCAAAATTACCAGAAAATACACCTTTATTTTATTTTATTTGGATTTTAGTATTTCTATTATTTAATAAAAAAAAATATATTCCTATGGATTATAAATGTAATGTAGCCTTTTTTCTATGAACATTTGTGACCAACAATGTACATTTTGAATACAAACATTTAAGAAGTCACAGTTTTGCATACTTTTTTTTTCATTCCTAAATTAAAAATTCATATTTTCGGGTAAATATTCTGGGTTGACAAAAATTTGGTGCATCACTAGTAATACTTTTAGTGACATTGACTGCAATCTGTTTAATGAATTCTTGATTTTTCGTTAAATTGTTCTTTTTAAATGATTATTATTCTTAACCTGATCTGGACAAAGTATGACATTATTTTGACGTTTTTTCTTTTTAAAGTTTGTTAAATGAGTAACACTGCAGAGACTGAGACAGTATGATTGTTTGGTCATGTGACTGGTTTAATAGCGTGCAACAGAAATAAATCCCATTTATTTTCTCCAAAGCGGTACTGATTTTTAGTGGCAACTTATAAACTGTTTAAAGACAGACGTACTTTGAGCTACGAGGTTGTTAATCAACAGTTCATGCTTCTGTTGAAATCATCAGCCCCCATTATTTTAACATTGTTTTTATATAATCACATTTAACAGCGGCATTATGGTGAAAAACTACATTACCCATGATTCTGCACCGAAAACTCCACCAGTTGTTTACACACACACACACACTCTCACACACACACACACACACTCACACACACACACACTCTCACACACACACACACACACTCAAGTAAAACAAACAAAACATTTTTAATAAATTATTGGCCAAAAAGTGCAAGAACGCTGAATTTTTAGTGCATGAATAAATCGAGTACACTGGATTTGTTTGAAATGTATTTGAACTAACAGCTTCTGAGAGTCTAAAATGGTCATTTTTGAGACTTGAAAAGAAATAAAAATTAGAAGTCACGGAAATATAGTAATTTCTAGTTATTCTCACCTCCAAAAGGCTGAAATTGTTAAAAATGTACTACATTTATCAAAAACAAATTGTAATGAATATTATAGTGTGTTGTTATTATAAACATCTTTGAGGAACGCATTGCAGTAAATGCACAGCAGAATGCTTGTGTAAGACCCGAGAGTCAGACTGCAGAAGAGAAGGGCTGTAAATGCAAATGTTCGAGCACTAATGTGAGATAATCCAGTGAAGTACGCTGCGTTACGAGCGTCTGAGACGTTAGAGGCACATCTGCAGCACGAGCTGGAGGATTTGAATACGAATGCAGCCCGTGGAGTCAGAGCACAGCTGCGCCGCAGGACAGGCCGCTCGCAACGCTCTCGCTGGAAGCTCAAACTGACATGCTGGAGACAGAGCAGCTGTCAGAGACGCCTGTCTGCACACGGACCAGACCCTCAGCTCACTGACTATATGAGGGCAAGAAAACAACATTTAACAGAAGAACCCACCATAAACACACACACACACACACACATGCAGTCTATACAAGCAATCCAGATGAATGCACAACTGAATTAAGAACTAAAATCATCTGCACATGATCAGCCATTACGACACATTTCACATATTTGGGCTGCAAATTGAAGGAAAATGCATTTCTGTGTCATGAGTCAGGTGGAACATCCTTATCAAACACCGGCACTCTGCTAGACGAGAATAAAAGAATCAAATATATGTATTTGTGACCCTGGAGCACAAAACCAGTCATAAGGGTTAATTTCGTGAAATTGATATTTGTGCATCATCTGAAAGCTGAATAAATAAGCTTTCCATTGATGTATGGTTTGTTAGGATCGGACAATATTTGAAAATCTGGAATCTGAGGGTGCAAAAAAATCTAAATATTGAGAAAATCATCTTTAAAGTTGTTCAAATGAAGTTCTTAGCAATGCATATTACTAATCAAACATTACGTTTTGATATATTTACGGTAGATATTTACGGTAGGACATTTACTAAACATGATCTTTACTTAATATCCTAATGATTTTTGGCATAAAAGAGAAATGTATAATTGTGACCCATACAATGTATTGTTGGCTATTGCTACAAATATCCCCCAGCGACTTAACACTGCTTTTGTGCTGCAGGGACACAATTAGCTGAGAAAATGAATCGGCATTGAAACTGGATTTTAGTATTTAATAAAAAAACGGATTAGTTTGGATTACTTTTCCCCATGATTTTTGTGATAAACGGTGTCGGTTTCTCATGGTAGAAGTAGTTTGAAGGCGAGTGACGGTCATTGATCTGTACTTTGTTCTGTTTGATTGTGCTGCAGGGACACAATTAGCTGAGAAAATGAATCGGCATTGAAACTGGATTTTAGTATTTAATAAAAAAACGGATTAGTTTGGATTACTTTTCCCCATGATTTTTGTGATAAACGGTGTCGGTTTCTCATGGTAGAAGTAGTTTGAAGGCGAGTGACGGTCATTGATCTGTACTTTGTTCTGTTTGATTGCATTGAGTTAATACTGGACGCGTTCAGTCCTGTAGTGCTCCGTGTTTGCTGTGACCTGTAGTTGTTCTGCATGAGCTCTAGATGTCAGCTGTTCTCCTGTCGTTTCCTCAAATGATGCGCTTCTGACCCACAATGCCGTGCGTGACGCCTCCTCCAAACACACACACAGCTGTATTCCCACAAACGTTTTGAAATGAGTTTTAGTGGTTTTTTATAGAAAGATCATTTACTGTCAGCATGTGAGTGGTTTTATGGAGAAGTTGTGGTTTTAGATTCCGTTTCCGAGACATTTTGGAAAGTTATGGTTATCAGATATTGTACATTATTTTTATGTTGATTATGTACTCTCATTATTTAAAAAAGATAATAATCATATTCTCAATGCTATAATGTACCTATAAACTTAACTTTTGAGTTTGTTTCTAGATTGTGATTCTCATTATACAGTAATGTGAATTTTTTTTAT